CAGTGGCGCTGCCGAACATACCAACTGGCAGCAAGTTACTGCGAGCTGAAGCAAAAGGGGGAAGTGGAACAAAGAATTTTACCATGTATGTTTTTGGAATTTTTCACGGATATAAACAATTCACTGCTATTGCAAGGTCATTGTGGCACCCATTCGACGAGCTGAGGCACATTCCTGATTTGATGATCCATGCAATTTTTGAAATGTTGAGCAATGGCCGACTGGACACCTCCAGGAAACGCCTGGAAACTTTGCAGAGGTGGCGACAATGGGCCCAAGACCTGCAACCCGAAGAAGAACTGCTGAAAGCGCAGATGCCGGTGCATGTGCGCCACATCATGCAAAACAAAAGGCTTGCCCTCCTTGCAAAACTGGCCGAAGTCGAGCTGGACTGGCCGGATAAGGGTTTACACAAGGAATTGTGTCAGGGCTTCCGTATCACTGGAGAAGCGCCCGCAACAGGCATTTTCAGACAACAACCCAAGCCAGCCACTATGACGGAGGACGAGCTTATGCAGCAGAGCAAATTTTTGCGGCCGGCCATTATTGGCAAAGCCAAGAACTATGGTGAGAACAAGTTTGCAAAGGAGTTGTACGACATCACGCTTCGAGAAGCAGCAGAGAAACAGTGGCTCGAAGGACCTTTTACTCATGGTGAAATCTCTGCGAAGCTTGGCCCAAAGTGGTTGCCAGTCAGATGTTTTTGCGTGGAGCAGAAAGGCAAGCTACGTCCTATCGATGATTTCTGTGAGAATCGTTTGAATTCAACGTTCACAACAGTGGATAAGATAACTTTGAAGACCATGGACCACATCGTTTGGGCTGCTCTGATAGTCTTCAAACACTGCCTCCATGCGCGTGAAATGCGCTTTGTCCTGAAAGATGGAAGGGAGCTCGTGGGACCCGTCCATCAAGATTGGTCGGGACGATGTGAGATGCGTGTGACAGCGCTTGATTTGAAAAGCGCTTTCAAACAGCTTCCGCTGCACCAATAAGACGGTGGTCACCATTGCGGACCCAAGCGATTCCCAGGTGAAGCATTTTCTGATGCTCACCTTGCCGTTTGGGTCATCGGCCTCAGTCCTACACTTTAACCGGGTCAGCTGGCTCTTGTGGGCGCTTGGGTGCAAACTTGGAATCTTGTGGTCGTGTTATTACGACGATTACCCCATCCTTTGTCCGGCTGGGTTGGAACAGGCATCTTTGGGGGCTGCAAAAGCTTTGATGAACCTCCTCGGCTTCCAATTTGCGGAGGACAAACTTGTCTCCCCGGCGCAGACAGCTGATATACTTGGAGTGGAGCTTGATTTGAAACAGAGTGGTGAAGGTGTCATTTGCGTGCGTAACAAGCAGGACAGAATTTCAGACATTGAGGCTACGCTGAACGAAATCCTGGATGCCAAGAAAGTGAGGCCAAAGGAATTGCCTTCACATCTTGGCCGCTTGCAGTTTGCTGACATGCAAGTGGCGGGCAGAGCTGGTAAGTTGGCTATGTGCGACCTCAGAGCTTTGGGAACCGATGGACGATCTGCAGTCGACCTCAACAACAGTCAACTTTCAGCTTTGAAACTGTTGAAAGAGAGAATGGTTTCTGGTAAGCCTAAGAGGCTGACAGCCAAGCCTCAAGCCAAGCCGTGGGTTTTGTTCACGGACGGAGCGTTGGAATACAACAGTTGCAATGAACCTGAAGCTTGCATTGGTGCAGTGCTTTTCTCTCCCCAAGGGGATACTTGGTATTTTGGATGCAAGGTACCTTCTGAAACTTTTGAAACTTGGACGTGCGATGGCAGGGAGCACGTGATAGGCCTGGTGGAGCTTTACGCCTGCGTTGTGGCATTACGACACTGGAAAAATCTTTTCAAAGATGAAAGAATAATACTTTTCGTTGACAATTACGGTGCTCAGGATTGCTTGGTGAAAGGCACAGCCAGTGTCAACGCCTGGCGCACCCTTTTGATGATACTTGAAGAGATGGATGACGAGTTATTTCAAAACTTGTGGGTGACGCGCGTGCCCTCTCAATCCAACCCTGCAGATTTTCCGAGCCGTGGAAGTGTTGCTGAACTTTCCTTCTGTGGGGCCATGACGCAGTCCCAACCAACTTGCCCGATCGCACACACGTTGCTTGAAATGTTATGCTGAAGCGGAAAGGGGATTTGGATGGAAATACACAATGCAGTGATTCATCCTTTTTGGTTTTGAATGAATGCAATTCAATGATGTTGCCATGCCGCAACCACAACATGCTGAACTGATGAGTTTTTCCCCTATCTGCGCAAGACGGAAAAAGATGGCGTGTGCGATCTCCACTTCAGATTCTCGTTTGTCATGTTCACATGTTGCTCGGAAAATCAGCCAAATAAATTATTTGAGAGGGTTTGTTTTGCTGTTTGTTTCGACACGTGGCGTTTCGAAATGCCGGTGTTGATCAAGGTTTTTGGGTCCAGGGTCACCGTTGCCATAATGTGGCCGTTGGCTTGCCAATAGCCGTTTATGGGTTAGGTGAGTGAAACTAGGCCGTTTCCCCTGCCTGCCAAAAACCAAAGTTAGAAATAAGATGCTTCTCCTTGCATGCCCCAGGAATAGGAAAGGCGAGGTTTGCGCGTCTCCTCTTTGCACTGCTCTCCTTTCCTCCGCGTTTCGCGCCGCGTTCGCGTTGAACTTCTGTTTATGGACTCTCCACTTTGTGGCGTTGTCCTTTTTAAATTTGTAATGAACTGAGTTAGATGAACAACTTTCTGTGAATCTGTTTCACTGACTCCATGATGCACCATGTCGTTTCACATGTCAATTGAATTTATGCTTTGATTTTTACATGTCAAGTTTACAAGCGGTGGGTGGGTGGGCTCATCGCTCACAATTTGCCATGTCATTTTCCTTTCCCACCCCACTCATTCATGAATTCGTTCCCGCCCTTGGAGGGGGATTTGGATGGAAATACACAATGCAGTGATTCATCCTTTTTGGTTTTGAATGAATGCAATTCAATGATGTTGCCATGCCGCAACCACAACATGCTGAACTGATGAGTTTTTCCCCTATCTGCGCAAGACGGAAAAAGATGGCGTGTGCGATCTCCACTTCAGATTCTCGTTTGTCATGTTCACATGTTGCTCGGAAAATCAGCCAAATAAATTATTTGAGAGGGTTTGTTTTGATGTTTGTTTCGACACGTGGCGTTTCGAAATGCCGGTGTTGATCAAGGTTTTTGGGTCCAGGGTCACCGTTGCCATAACGTTGGAGCTTGCCGGACAAACGTGAAGGCAGGCAAGAGATGCATGCATGGATATCATGTCTGTTGGAAGGTGAATTGCAATCGTCATTTCCCATACCACGAGTGCTCCCATGTGGGGAGCTCCTGACCAGGTGCAACAGACAGTATCACCGATCGCAATGCAGTATTTATTGAATTTTGTGCTGGGTCAGGTAACCTGTCATCAGCAATGCGTGACGCTGGATTCACTACATACAGCATTGACCATGAGCACAATCGTCATCAACCTAAGGTTGCTTTGATTTTGTCAGATCTCACCCCAGAGCACTCTCAACAGACTGCCTTGGACATGGTTCGACAACTTCGACCCATTGGAATTCACTTGGGCCTTCCTTGCGGCACTTGTTCACGTGCAAGGGACCGCCAATTGCCGGAGCACCTGCGGGGTCAACACAGTGCACCACCACCTTTGAGATCAGCAGAGCACGTTTAATGTACTTGTTCATTGTGTTTTGCAAGGAACTTCTTTGTGTTTCTATTCCATTTTGGCTCAAGGACTTTCATTTGTGCGTATACATTTTTCGTTTTTGTCTGCTCAGCCAACAGTTTTCTTTTGGACATCTGTAGCAGGCATTAACATGGATCAGTTGCGTTTTTCCGGTCATGCAGATATTTTCAGAGTTTTATGTTTTGTCGTTTTAGAGTCACAGACACCGGGCGGTCCCGGGCGGCATGGACGGAGCGACGGTCTCGGTGTTATCACTAGAACAGTTGATTACTGCACTTCTCCTCATTGTCAACGAGTTGTGCCATCGTTTTCGTATCCCTTTATCTTCAGCATCATCTGTACCATTACAAACCACACCTGATTTGGAAAATCCTTCAGGGTCACCCATCCCCGAACGTGGATCGTGTGGTGCAAAGTGTCGCTGGTGTGATTTACCCTGTGGACGTGCAAAGCCGGGTCATACGGGGCATAGTTGCTATACACATCGGCATTGGCGTGATGGATAATTCCATGGATGGTTGGTCACTGGTACAGAGTGTTGAGGGTTCGTGGGACACGAGTTCAGTGATTTCACCGCCGTTGCAATCCAGGCCGAAGTCTGCTCCATTGCAGCGGGCACCCCTACAGCAAGGTCCTCGCCTGGTGTCTCCATTCCAAGTGTCTGCATTGCATCCGGTGGTCACGAGCACTATGGGGTGTTCGGGACAGTCCTCAGCTCAGCGACATCCAGGTATCCTGAGGGTTTCAGATTTAAACCAGGGGGTTAATGTTCCTCCCCCCCATCCATGTCCTGTTGATTCTATTCGCATTGTACCTGGGGTTACTCCTTTGCAAATTCCCCCAGAAAATTTACCTGTGATTCGGAGCTGGACGACGTTGCAGCAGAGAGTTGCACTACCTCAGCCTCAAGGATGTTTGGGTTATTCCGAGTCAGTACCAGTTGATTTTGTGCCTAATCGGCCTTCTCCAACGTTACTGCATCCTCCCAGACGTCAATCAGGGGCTATTAGCAGAGTTCGTTTTTCTAGTGCTTCACCGGTGCTCGGTCAGATGTGGTTTGATTTGTTATCACAGCTGGGCCCACTATCCAGAATTTGGCAAGAGACGAGTATGTCACAGCATCAACGTATGCATTTGAACCGAATTTTGGACAATGTGGCACCGGGCACGGCTATGAAGTATATTTCCAGTTGCAAGTCCTTTTTCAAGACCTGCAAAGCGTTACAAGTGGATCTGATATCCCTTACTGAGGTTCAACTGGCAGACATTTTAATCACAATGTCACTGTCGAGATCTACATCTCATGGCAGTAGTTCTTGCAGTTCAGTCATCAAAGCACTTCGATGGCTATTGAAATCAGCAGAGGTTGGATGTTTACAGGTGGTGCATTCAGTTCTTATTGGAACCTTTCTGAACCAGAAGGTGCCCAGGGATAGGAAACAAGCACCTCCTCTGCCTCTGTGGGCATTGGTGCAGTGGGAGCGTCGTGTGCTCATGTCCAACTGCACGGTATTAGAAATCATTCTACTGGGTACATTTTTATTGATGGCCTGGGGATCCCTTCGTTTTTCCGATGCGCAAAGGTTAGACCTCCAAAAGATCATCTATCACGATGGTACCATGCGAGGGGTGATATGGCGCTCCAAGACAGCAGTCAGCGGCATGCCCCTAGCAGTGGCGGCGGAGGGTTTCCTCAGCAAAGGCTCCCACAACTGGCTGTGGAAGTTCTTGACAGTTTTGGATACGGTATTGGCCAAATCAGGCCTCTCCGATGTTGATTTTCTTCTTCCACTGATGGATGAGGATGGACCAGTTTATCCATTGCAACCGATGGATTATGCTACAGCGTTATTTTACCTACGGAAATTTTTGGGTTGCCCCTGGAGTCAACGACCAGACCCCTTGCAGCATTTGAAGTTGAACTTCACTTTGCACTCCCTCAAAGCGACATTATTGTCGTGGGGACCCCAGCTGCATGAGAAAGTGACCCCTGAACAGCGTTTGTCTCAGGGACACCATTCGGATCCCAATAGCAGTTTGGACACATACTCACGTGACGTGGTGTGGACGTCCTTGACGTATCAGCGCAAGATGATACAAGAGGTTCAGAGTGGATGGCGTCCAGCCATTGCCCAGCATCGGGGTAGTCAGGCTCCTATGGTCGAACCCAAGGTTGTTTTGGAGAAATTTGTCAAATCTCTCCCACAGTTTGATTTTCAGTGGTTTCAATTCAATGCGTCCTCTGAGACACAAGCTCCAGATTTTTTGGAGTCATCGACCAGCAGTTCTGAGAGTTCATCGGATTCATCGTCGGATGACGAGGTTATGGAGCCTCGACCCAAGACTTCCAAGGTGGACGTGGTACCTTTGGATGTCGATGAAGTCCTGGTGGGACGATATCGATCAGTTGTACATGCACTAGTGCGCGCCGGCGATGATGAAGATTGGCGTCCTCGGTGGCAAGGACAGCCTCTCAAACCTGCCTGTGGTAGGCAAATGCGTGGTGTGGAAGCCGAGATCTTGGATAGACTCGACTCGACTATGCCGTTCTGCCAGCATGCAGCATGCAGGAAGGTTTGGCACAATTGTCAGCTCCTGCAAGGATCTGGATAGGTCCCATTCCAAGCGGTATGAAAAATTTTGCGCTTGGAGTTTTTGCCAACGGGTCGGTGACCTGTTGGGTGCAGTCGGTTTTCCCTGGTAGGGTTAACCGAGTAAGTCCATATAGGGTACTTTTTGCGTTATTTTCCCCTCTTTTGACTAGGGGAGGGGTTCAGATTTTTTGTACAATAGGGGATGGTATCCCCTAACATGTCAACGGTGTTGGCATCACATTTCAACCGGTGGTTGAAGAGTTACTCACGGTGTGAGTTGAAATGACAGGTTGTCATGTTATATTCAACCGGTGGTTGACTATGGACTCACGGTGTGAGTACCACAATGACCGGTGGTCATTCAGTTTCTCAACCGGTGGTTGAGGTTATTCGCTCACGGTGTGAGTCTTACATTGACCGGTGGTCAATTCATCATTTTTTTTTCAACCGGTGGTTGAAGCGGCACTCACGGTGTGAGTGACGTGTTATATCGTCATGGTTGCCGTCGGTGATGGCTCGAGTGAACCCGGTGGGTCAACAATCAGTTGTGCAACAACATGCACTTCTTTTAGGGGTTCCACTATGGAGTATCCACCCCTTTCATGGTTAATCAAACGTCAAATGGCGCTGTCAAGGTTTTCTTCTGCAAGTTTTTGCTTTTCCCCTCAACATAAGGGATACTGTTTGTGGTTCGTGGCTCCTAAGCTATTTTCTCCTTTGTCTACGTGGTGGTGCCATGGCGTCTGACAATTTGGAAGATGTTTTGATACAGAGTGGGGTGGACTCGGCCCTCACGAGCTCACTCATGATGGAGGGGTGGTCCTGTCAATCGTTTCGCATGGCAGCAGCTGACATTCATGGATTTGAAGATGTTCTCCAGGAATGGTCGTCTTCTACTCCTTTGTCGGCATTCCAAAAGGCGTGCCTCCGTACGGCATTTCAGTCTCTCCAACCTCAACAAGGACCTAGTGCATCGGCTGTGTCAACCCCAACATTGAGCACTACCACGCCAGCCGGGTCTTGGGCAGAAGCCTTTCCTCCCAAATTGGAGAATGCCGTGTTGCAGGCGATGAAACAAAAATTCATGGCCAACTATCCATCGGAGTTGATCCATGCAGACCTTTTTCCGTCGACCAGATTAGTGAGCCTGGTTCATGACCAGCTCTCCAAGAAGGTTTGGAAATGGGTGCCATGGAAGTATCGCATCTCGCTCACCAGGTCAGAGGAGATTTCTAGCAATCGAGCTCAGAAGATGCCAAAAATTGACCACTTGGGGTTACACTCCTTATTATTTGATGATCCTCCCTCAATCGACGTGTCCAACAACGCCATGGGGGTGAACTCGATTCGCAATATGCTCGAAGTTCATGATCGGGCCATTGCCTTGTGCCAAGGCGCTCACCTCGCCAATCTCAAGGCCTATACCCACAAATTCATCGGGTTTTTGACCGCCAAGTATGATGGAGATTTACGTAGCCCCAGTGTATTGGAGGCTCAACATGCGGACCAAAAAATTTGGACAGTCATTGCCGAGCTCATGGAACGAGGATGGAACATGGATGACTGCTTGCATGAAATGACGAATTTACGTCATGACCTACCAAGTCTCCTTCAACCACGACCTCGCGTGTTCAAGCCACTCCCATCACCATCTTCTCAGACAGCTTCCCCTCGGGGTGATGGACCGAAAGGCAAAGGCCAAGGGAAGTCAAAGGGCAAGCAGAATTCCGGGAAATCCAAGGGCAAGGTCCAATGGCTCACGGAGATTCAACGGGATGGTGGCTTCAAGCAACTCTGCATGCGATATCAGGTGGGCAAGTGTCAGACTCCCAACTGTGGCTTTCAGCATTTGTGTGCGTACCCAGTTGATGGAAAAGCCTGTGGCAAAAATCATGGGGCGATGTCCCATTTTGCCACCCCGCACTGACTCCCCGAAGGGGATTGTGACCCAGGTTTCACCATGCATGATCCATTCAATGAGGTTGACTCCGTAGCGACTCTCCCAGTGCATGACGTGGACCCAGTTCAAGACTTCGCTCCACCTAGTGATAGTTTTACCCGGGGCCGTTTGTCCCAACCAGAGCAGGCGAATGCGGAAACAGATATCACTGCCACCGTCCCCGTCACAGCGGAATCCTTGGTTTCCTCTACGTCAATTCCACCAACCATTTCAACTTCAATTTTAAAAACAGTTCCCTCAGGTAAATTTTTTCTCGATGTTTGTTCAGGTGTTACACGTCCATTATCGACAGCTGTATTGGAGCATGGCCACTCAGTTCTTTCCTTTGATGTTTTATTGGATTCTTCTATGGATATTTTATCAGATGCGGCCTATGAGGATCTGTTGCGTGTCGCATCCAGTGGTCAGGTTGGTTATGGAGCGGCCAGCCCTTCCTGCTGTGAATACAGCAGACTCAAACTTCGAGATGATGACGGTCCCAAGGCTCTACGATCACCAGAGCACTTGTCCGGTCTGCCCAATCTCACACCCTGGGAGCTGCAACGTGTCCAAGAGAGCTTTATGATGCTCTCTCGCTGCGTTGAGGTCCTCACCCTGGTTTTTCAAGCAGGCGGGCACGTCCACCTTGAACAACCCTTGAACGCCATGTCATGGTTAGAGAAGGTAGTACGCCAATTTCTGCAATTGATTGGGGCTTCCTGTATCAACGTGGCAGCTTGCGCCTATGAGATGGATATTTACAAAGCTTGGATGTTTGCCTCGAGTTTTACCGGTCTTCGACCATTAGGCGGCATTTGTCAACATCCCCCTAATTCTCATGTTCGTCTTCAAGGTCTCCGAGACGATTCTGGTGCTTTTGCCAGTAGGGCGACGGCACAATACCCACAGAAACTGGCACAATTGTTTGCCAATCTTGTGGCCCCATTACTGGACACATCAGGGTTGGACCTCCAATGGTCATATTTGGATGCCCTCATGCCCACCAAGCAACTGTCGGAGTATCCATTTTCGCAAATCGATGGGGGTGGAGCTTTTTCCCACCCGGACTGGAGTCAGGATAATCGTCAAGAACACGACTGGTTCAAGACTCTGCGTACTTCGTGGATGAACAGGATCATCTCTGAGCGGTTGGATAAGATCCTACTTGCGCATGTGGCTTCGGGCAACCCGTCACCGCCTTTTTCGGGGGAAATCCTGACCCCATTCAAGGCTGATCTGGAGCAATTCTTGGAGGCACATGGACATACACCAGATTGGTCAGTTCGACAACATCAACCAATACATCTTCATATTTTACATTCTTTCCAAAAGATTATGCATGACGTCGATTTTACATTATTGCCCAGTCTATTAGAAGGTGTTCGAACTGGTTTTTCCACAGCGATTCCTCCGTCGGGTATTTTTCCACCCAAAGAACGTACGGACATAGAACCCGATCCATTGTCAGCTCACCTTTCCAACTGGCAGAGCGCTGAAGAAGATCTACCACTCACCCGCGAACTGGTTCAGGAAGAAATTGACAAGGGTTGGGTGTTTCCGTATAAAGGTTCTTTGGAAGAAGCACAACAAGAATATCCGGCCGGAGTTGCTATTGGAAAATTGGGCGTGGCTCGCTCGGATAGTCGAGCCCCCCGATTAGTTGTAGACTCCAGCGTATGCGGCCTCAACGGTCGGTGTATCATACCTGAGAGGTCCACCCTCCCGACTGCCAAGGAGGTGTTACGTAGCTACCCTCTACGTCAGTGTCATAGGAATCTAATGGGCTTTTCTTTAGACGTTAAGGCTGCTCATAAAAGAATAGTTCTTCATCCGGACGAATGCGGATTGGTGGGCTTTTCGCTAGAGGGACAGCTTTTCTTCTATAGAGTTACCCCATTTGGTGCAGTTTTCTCTGCCTTTTGGTGGGCGAGATTGGGTGGCCTCCTTCTCCGTATCTTTCACCATTTGATCTGGTTGAGTCACGCTGGATTTCTATATGTGGATGACTTCTTATTCTTTATGGAAGCCAACATGATGCCGCTGTCAGCCACATTGTTGTGTATTTTCTGCCAGCTTTTGGAAATTCCTATCAGCTGGAAGAAGACGGCCATGCACTCTTCCATTGACTATATTGGCTGGAAATTCAATTTCAATGCAGGTATCGTGACAATCCCCATTGAAAAGATCCTCAAACTCTGAGGATACATCGAACATCTTATTTCCCAGCCACGAACTACTCGTAAGTCTTTGGAGAAACTTATTGGCCTGGCAATGTGGATTACTCAATTATTTCCACTTATGCGGATCTGGATCCACTATTGGTACCACGACCTCTACACCATCCCGGCGACACATTTCAGTATTGATGCTGGTACATGGCCTCGCATTCATCAATATTTAACACCTACTTTGACTTTTCATACAGCACCTTTGGGCTCCGCTATACCTATTTCAGGTAAGCTCATTGCTGTTCGACATCAAGCGGTATCCTCATTGGCGGATCTGACATCGTTACATATCAAAACAGATAACAGGATTTGGCTACGGATTATCAATCCGAATTCCTCCAAACGCAAGCTTCGTCCTGATTCTCTTCGCATTTTGAAGTTATTTGAACATTGGCTGATGGGTGTTTCTCCATCTCGACCAATGAGAGCGAAGCCATATTGGAATGGCGTTGCGGCAGCCGATGCATGTGCATCGGGTTCCTATTGTCAAATTGGAGGTTTCATCCGTCATCCTTCAGGAGTCCAATTTTGGTTTTCTGAGAAATTTTCCCATGCTGATTTTGACATTTTGTCAATTCATTTGGACCCAAATATGCAACGAAGCATTGCTTCTTTTGAAACTTTAGCCCAAATTGCTTTAGTTTGGCTGGTGGCCACATCTTTTCCCGGTTTTCGTATTCCTATTTGTGTGAAATCCCTGAGCGACAATACGGGAGCAGAGAGCGTGAGCAACAAATTATTCACTACGACTCATCCTCTATGTCTCTTTGTCGAGATCCTCACGTGCCTGGCTTCGACAACGGGTATTGAATTGGATGTGAGCCATATTCCTGGCGCGGACAATGTCATAGTGGATGATCTGAGCAGATGGGATTTTTCCACTCCCATCCCACATGATTTTCAACCAAGTGAAAGGATTCATCTTTCACTCAATCAACTATTTCGTTGTTCACCTCACCCAACATTGCATCCTCCTGATTCAAAACTCCTTTGGAAACTCCCACATCCTCTTGCGATGTGATCTGCTGGAATGGTTCTCACTTCTAGTTTGGGCGTGCTTGGGCGATAACCATTATACCAGATAGTTGTTGTTTGGGTTGTTGATGCCATCTGGTCGAATGGTTTCGATTGAAGTGTGGTCGAATCCAAACTGGATCCAACAGTGGGACAAACCATCCAGCAGATGAAAAGGGAGTGCGTTCTGAGATCGGAAGCGAGACATGGTCAAGCGGGAGGATTGAAGTTTCAGTTGTTTTTTGTGTTTTGGTTTGTTTGCGTTTTCTTTGCGGTTTCTAGATCTTGTCTCAAACAAATGAAAGTCCTTGAAGAACGTTTAATGTACTTGTTCATTGTGTTTTGCAAGGAACTTCTTTGTGTTTCTATTCCATTTTGGCTCAAGGACTTTCATTTGTGCGTATACATTTTTCGTTTCCCTCCCTCCCTCACCTTGTTCTCAATTCTTTATCAATATTGCATCAAGGGTTCGATCTCGCTGTTTCACCCCATTTCTCTTATTGCTGCTCCGAAGTTTGTTTCATCTACGAAGCCTTTGTGCTCCTGGTTCTTTACAGTGCGTTGCACTTCAAAGCCGAGTGACGTTATGTCACGTTCAGTATTGTGACTGCATCTATGACAATGCACAATCGTGCATCGGTGATGTCATCTCACCCGAATGGGTTGTTGATGCCATCTGGTCGAATGGTTTCGATTGAAGTGTGGTCGAATCCAAACTGGATCCAACAGTGGGACAAACCATCCAGCAGATGAAAAGGGAGTGCGTTCTGAGATCGGAAGCGAGACATGGTCAAGCGGGAGGATTGAAGTTTCAGTTGTTTTTTGTGTTTTGGTTTGTTTGCGTTTTCTTTGCGGTTTCTAGATCTTGTCTCAAACAAATGAAAGTCCTTGAAGAACTTGATGGGTTTACCTCATCTCTTTGGCACCAACTTAGCGAAGGTTCAAGCGGCCAACAAGCTTTACAGTTTTGGAGCCCAGCTACTTTTTCTTTGCTTTCAGCTCGGCATTTTGGTGTCAATTGAAAATCCTTCTCGAAGCTGGCTGTGGGGAAGCCTAACCAGCTTAGTTGCGGCTATGAATGATGCAGCATTCACACAATGGTTTGCAGCACTGGTTGCAACAGATTTTCATGCATGTATGCATGGGGGGGAGCGCAACAAGCGCACGCGCCTCCTGGCCTCAGCTGGAGTATATGACGAGCTTGCTGCAGATTGTGACAACAGCCATCCTCACAAACCGTGGTTCGTTGTGCAGCGAGGTGCTGGTTTGGAATTTGCAACAGCCCAGGAAGCAGAATATCCCAAAGTCTTAGCCCAGCGCATGGCAGCATGTCTACGACGTCAAGCCGAACGTCAAAAACTCCAGTTGGGGCCTCGCTTATCCTCGGCTCAGAAGGCACGACATGCCTGGGGAGTTCAAACGGTTAAGGGACAATCCCTCATCCCGGAGTTCAAAGACTTTTGTCATGTCGATGCAGCACAAAACAAACCTGGATATAGACTTTTGGCAACTCCACTACAGGGGGCACAACACACAGAGTTGCCTTCAGAGGATGAGAAACAACACGAAAGCAATCAAAAGAGAGCCAGAAAGACCTTCAAGTATGGCATCCAGTGGAAGCCTGAGGAGTTCTTGGAACAGGCGAAAGCTGTCTTGCACCCAAAGGATCCCCAGAAAGCTTTGCCACAGGCGTTGAAGGAAGCCATAATCCATGTCATGGGTTCCAGCCCAGTTGATGTTGCCAAGCACCGACTGAGCATGGTGCTGACGCTTCACAGAAAGGCAGCTGAGCTTGCAACAGAAGAACAGCAACTCAAGACAATGATGGATCCTCAAACAGCTCATGTTTTGGCCAACAAACGCCTTTGCTTGTGGAAATACCTGCTAGAAACCACAGGGTTTGCGGATATGCAAGTGGTTGACCTGGTTACCAATGGGATTCCTCTTTATGGATGTCATACCAAGCCACCTAATTTTCCGGATGGCTGGAAGCCCTCTTTGATTTCAGTGGACGAGCTCTTGGAGTCTTCAGTCTGGAGAAGAAAAGCCCTGATGGGGGCTGAGCAGTCCAAGGTGGAAGATTCCGTGCAGGATGATCTTCACGATGCGACAATGAAGGAAGTCGCTTTGGGGCACTTGCATGGACCTTACTCCTAGCAGGAGGTTACAGAACACTTTGGGTCGGACAAGTGGCTTTGCAACCCTAGGTTTGCCCTCTACCAAGGGTCCGAGAACAAAGTAAGAGCAATAGATGATGGCAAGCGGTCGGCTTTGAACCTTGCGTATACCACCAACTTCAAGCTTGAGCTGTATGATGTAGATACTCTTGCGACACTGGTTGCAGCAGTTGCGGATAGCTTGCGAGCCGGCAAGGTGAGCTTTGACATGGACGATGACACAGTCTGCTCTGTGCCAGTCCACCCAGAGGTGGCATCAGATGCGTGGTCAGGGCAGACTCTTGACTTGTCACGGGCGTGCAAACAACTCGCTCTGGACAGGGCTTCAAGATGCTTGAGTGTGGTTGGCTACCACTACAGGGGCCGCTGGGTTTTCTTTAGGTGTGATGTTCTTCCTTTTGGAGCTATTGCAGCAGTTTACAGTTTCAACAGGGTGTCCAGATCATTGCACTTCTTGATATGTAAGTTGTTGTGGGGACCATGCACTTGCTTTTACGACGATTACCCTACAATCAGCCCCAATGCTTTTGCGGCTATCCTTTCAAAAGCGATGAGTGCCATGCTCACGCTGCTTGGTTGGGACCATGCCAAAGTTGGTGTCAAGGCGGTGGATTTTGCTGCGTCATTCAACGCCCTTGGGATATCGGTACAACTGGACCACCTCAACAAAGGGTCTTTCATCTTGTGCAATAAGGAAGGGCGCATTGAGCGCTTGTGTGCCATGCTCGAGTCGGTCAAATGCAGAGGAGCCATTTCAAAATCGGAAGCTGCGCAGATCCAGGGTCACTTGAATTTTGCAAGCGGATTCTTTGTGTCCAAAGCTCTCAGGTTTTTGGTATCTTCTTTTTCGAGACTGGCCGACCTGCCCAGGTCGCTGGGGGGTGATGATATCTCCAAGCTTTGCAGTTTGGCAGTAACTATGTTGAAGGCGATGCCGCCTCGAGTGTATGTGTCAGAGTCCTTCAAAGATCCTTTTCTCATCTTCACCGACGGAGCATGGGAAGATGGGAAAGCAACAGGTGGTGCTTTGACGTTCGACCCCCGCACGGGCGAGTCGAGAGTCTTTGAAGTGGAGATCCCAGCCGCACTTGTGGCCAAGTGGCTTGAGGAAGTTGGAGAACAACTGATATCCCAGATTGAGTTCTTTGTTTATCTTGCCGTCCGCTTTGATTGCCGTGAGGCTTTGCTTAACCGACTTGGCATTGCTTGGATCGATAACGAGGCGGCAAGATTTGTGGCAATCAAAGGGTCGTCAGATTCCTTTAGCCTTTTAGCAATGAGCCGAACCCTCCAACAACTTGAGCTTGAGATGCCTTCCTCGGTGTGGCTTGAACGTGTGGCCTCGTATAGTAACCCTAGTGACATGCCTTCTCGGAAACAGGTCAAACTGGCAGCCAAACTCTTTAGAGCTTCAGAAGCTGGGGTGTTGCGAGTCCCGAGCCGACTAGTCGATGCCATCCTCCTAATGCATCGGGAACCGTATGCCTCGTTGAACGCACTCTCTATACTCCAGTGCGTAACTGGCAACTCACTCGTGACTTTCACCCCCGCTGTCTAAAAAGGTGCCGACCTGTTTTTCACTGCAAGCTGTTTTCAGTTTGATTTCTGCATGTGAGACACCACGCGTTTTGACGAGAAGTGTAACAAGTTTTGTCACGAAAAGGGTTTTTCGATTCGTTTCGATTTTTCGTTTGGCGCAGACGAAGTTTTACGAGCCACGACGATCCACGTATTGTGCGTAAACAATTGCGCTATATATATACACTATGTATATATATAT